ACACACACACACACACACACACACACACACACACACACACACACACAAAGTATTATTATAGTTGTTTATACTCGTATTATACACAATTCTTTTTTAGTAATCTAACCAGGGAACGAATTAATAACATGTTTATCAAAGCTGGGAAAGTTAGTAATTTTTTTCAACTAATTTAAGTTAAGTTACTTTAATATTAAAACTAACTAAGTTAGAATATAAGTTATTTTCTGAAACTGTCTAAATTTTTAACTTAGTTAGAAGTTAGTTTAGTAAAAATACTAATTTAAGTTAGAGTATAAGTTAGAAGTTAGTTTTTTTTTTATAGATTAAAAAACCTTTTTATTGAAATGTAAATAATAAAATAAATAATAAATTATCTAACTTAAATTATTGATTAAAACTGAAAAATTGAATTAAACACATAGAAATTTGATCAAAATGTTCTAATTAGGTAAGTAATAATTTCAATTAATTATTGGTATATCACTTATGAGTTATTAGAACATAAAGGATGAAACAAAATAAAAAATACCTATATATAATAGTATGATAACTTAAAATATTAATATTAAATAAGAATGCATAATATAATCTATATAACTATATTCTAGTATTCTAGTATATTTTATTCAAAATATTTGTTAAATTTCAACAAAAATGACATTTCAAAGTTATCGTCAGACATAGACCCACGCCTTTTATCGAATAATTGTCCTCCTGGCCAATTATTCCATAAAAGTCTCTCGACGTGAGCAATACTTAGTACCTATACAATTTCTGTATTCCTTCAGAAAATGTTGTTAATGGTAGTTTAGGAGAAGAGTTTGAGTATTCATTAAATAAATTTTGAAGTTTATCTGTTTCTGGATTTTCTATAGAATCGAAATGTAAAAAATCATCATATGTGACACATGTGCAAGTGGTGCATGTGTGCGCGATTCTAGAATAATCACACATTGCAACAGTAAATATTACTGATATTGTGATATTATAATATAGTTATTAAATCTTAAATATAGGGAATACTATAATAGTTAAATAGTAATATAGATAAACGGGTAAACGTAAACAACCAATAACACTACCACGAAAATTCGGCATTGTGTCTTCACTAATTGGTCAAGCCACCCGTATAGATATTATTTATATCTAGTAGATATCAACATTCTATAAACTACGCGGAAAAGCCGTTGTTCCTGTGGGTGCATTATTATAAATATTAATAATTAATAATATATATGAGCCAATAATTTATATAGGCATATATGAGCATATAGCCAAAATATCATGATTGAGGAATAGCTTTTGGAATTATGGAATGAAAAAAAAAAAAAATAATAATAACTAGTCAGTTTTTTTTCTAATGAGCTAGATTAGACTATTTTACACATTAAATTTAACTAGTTAAGTCAGAAAGTTACTTAAAAAGTAACTTTCTAACTTAACTTTAACTTTCTAATTAGTTAGTGTCCAGCTTTGATGTATATTAACATATATGGTTTTACTCAGCATTTTGTTGCCAATTTACATGTTAGGCATTGTTAATATTATATTTTAGTGTTTTTAAAATTCATTATAAAGTAAAATGTGTGTGTTGATAACTTTTAAGTAATTGTTACGCAGCGTTTTAGTATTTTTTAATATTTTTAATCCAAAACGAATACAACTGATTAATGATTAAAATCATTGGTTTCAAATAAATATAAATAATTAGAATATCAAACAATATTTATAATTTATACAATTTATCTACATACAAATTATTAAGTCAGAACGCAAATCTTAGTTTAGAGTTTTGATTAATTACTGCTTAAAATTAAAGAAACAATAGTTATTAGTAGTGGCTTGAAATTAAATGGCTCTTATTTACTCTATTTTAATTTTAGAATTGTATTCAAAATATTTTACTACAAAATGATTAAACGATTTTAACTTAGTATATTTATTCTAAATATAAATAGGTTCATTCAATTTTGAGGGAAGAATTCCATTAAAAATAATAATTATTAGAAATTACAAGGAAGTTACAAATATTCTAATAAGAAAATTAAACAAAAAAATACGTTTGTCATAACAGTATATATAGATTCGACTAATTCGAAATTGGTAGGAATTATAAAAAATTTGAATCACCGAGAGATCGAATTGCTGAGTAGTTTGAAATGCAAAAGAACAAAAAAAAAAAAAAAACAATTATAATTACCGAGTTCAAATTGTTTAATAATTATAATGTTTTATCAAATTTGGTAGTATTACAACTATGCAGAGGCTTTCTTAAAGGCTTTCTCAATACATTTGAAATATGTGGTAGTAAATCTATTGAATCTTTAAGAATTTTTTCATTCCAACAATTTTGAATTTAATAATTTGTTTGTCTTTTTTTCTAAATATCGTACCCAGATAAATCTGTTTATCGTTAACTTCAATAGATATGTGTAGAATGTACTAGTGCACATAATACTGTTAAAATCCAGGTATTATGTAAAACCGTTTTACTGTAAATGTAATAAAAATAATATATAAATAAATAAATTATTAGCCTGGAGTATGACCGGTTTCGAATTTTCAATTCATCATCAAGTTTGTACAAAGTCAATAAAATCGCTACTTTTTATTTATTTATTTACCTTAGGTGAAAAATTTTTTTTTACAATTTATTTGAGTTGCGATTTCATTGATTTTATGCGAGGTGAATTCTTAATTCGAAATTGGTTGTACATTATAAATATAATAATACACCAGGCTAAGCATTTATTTATACATTAATTTTCGAGTATTAAACATTTACTAATTTGTATTTTATTTTTTATTATTTTATTAATAAAATTAAGTATTGTACGGAAATAAAAAAAATGAAGCCATGATTGGTGGCAATTGAAATCAAATTAAATTTAGTAAACACATACAATTAATAATTTAATCAAAATACACTTATCAATATCTTTAAAAACAAATTTGTATGACAACGTATTCAAGTGCAGGCTGGAACATTCAACTTGATCTGTTATTATCACATTTCAACTAATAAATATTTTTATTTCATAGCGCTCAATAAATCTTTAAAACCCCATAATAGCATTAATAGTGGCATAGCCAGGAACTTTGTATGGGGGGGGGGGGTTCAGCAAATTTATATATATTTAATCTTATTACTATCATTTTGACTACTATTTGTGTTGATCTCGGTATTTTTAAGTTTGGTTGGTATTAGTTTTTTTGACTCAAGTTAAAAAAAAATAATTAATTTTTCTATCCTGTTTATATGTTAGAGAATTTGCCTTAATAATAAATAATAATAATAATAACAATTTAGGAACTAGGAATTAATTTAGGAACATAAATATTAGATATTAGATTATTTTCTGTCCAATCACTTAAGTATACTAAAAATAGGGGGGGGGGCTTAGCCCCCAAAATCGAAACTTTGTTAGAAATGTTATTCGTTGTTTTATAATCTGTTGGTTTTTTAAAAATCGTAAAATAAGAAATAATAAAAACTGTTTACAATAGCATAAACAATACCAATTAGTTCGGCTACTTACGAAAGAAGTTTCTGTGCAAAGAAAAAATAAAAACTTGGCTAAGGTTCAGCGATCTTTTAATACTATAAATTGAAAATTATGTATTGAAAAATATAAAAAGCGATGATATTTTGAATATTTTTGCTGATACAAATATATATATTTATCATTAAAATAAAATGTTAATTATTTTTAAATATACGTCATTTAGTATTTTTTTTAATACAATTTAAACTTATCTATATTTTTAATAGTAATAAGTCTTACTTGTGTATGAGAAGGGGGTGTAGAGGCGTAGCCCCTGCGGGTTATTTTACATTGAATTATTATAGCCCCCCAAATATTCAACCAAATGTCCGCCTATGATAGGTACAATATAATTAATAAATTACGTTATTTATTTATTTTTTTTAAATTTTTTAATTTGTTTCAAAAAAGTTACTCAGGAGTTAATTTTGTACTATATACAGAATATCGATTAAAGTATTAATTTTTAAAAATAAATTCATTCGATAGTTGCGCCAATGTACGTTTATCGATTTGCATTATACGAAACAGCATTTGGTTCTATTGTATAAGTTTCGTATGAACGGAGGAGGAGGAGGAGGAGTGAAGTAACGAACATACACATTTTGTAAGGACCAATGATTGCTGTGTTTGTGTGTGCACGTGTTAGAAGTGGGTAGAAAGTAATTCCTTCAACGTTAGGGCGAATGTGTAGACTAAAATAATATTGACGATGTAGCTCGACCTTTCATCAATTGGATGCTGACGAAAGCTGCGATGGACAGTGTGATTAAGACGGATCATTTTCGGTTTGCCGATGATGTGGGATCGCAATGGAGAGGGAAAGAACTATACAGCAAAAGAACATACTGTATGAAAAGACCCCTTTTTCCGTATGCAGTCTAACAGGGTCGTTCACAACCCTCGGGCTTTGCGGTGCTTTTACGCAAACGAAAATGCCGGGCTATGCATCTATGCGGGAAACGGTGGCGATGATGTCACCAATCGAAAACCGTTACGCAACAAATATTCCGCATCAGATCGACTAAATTAGAGAAAACGTAATGACCGGAGTGCGTTAGTGATATTTTTCAGCCCGGAAAATATAACTTATAACGGCTAACAACAACCTGTATTTAAATGGAAATTGCGTATACTTCGTATACTCGAAAAAGATAAGAATATAAACAATCGGGAAATTTCCCGGTTTTCCGATTGTCACCCTTGTCGGCCTTCGCGTGATTCTCCCTTCGTATTTTTATTACGTATTCGTGTACGATTATTTGACTTACTTGGCTGAACAACAAATTAATCGGCGAATACATGTTGACGGAAAGTAACGACAGTCGTTGCGGCGGATGATGGCAAAATACATGTGTGCTTCTTACGACGGTCGTGGAACAATGTCGAGCCGCCGGTTGCCGAATCCGGTGACGGTGACGGTTTGGCGATGGCACGAAAAAGCAGTGGGACGCGCTCACGCAACGGAAATGACCGAGTGTCAAGGACTCGGTATGCAAATGTCGCCGTGATGGTTATTGTATAATCGAGTCGATAATTATGTATTTTTTGTACTAACACACACGCACAATTCACGAACATACGATCGACGAATGCCCAAGTAGAGTACTTATATAAGACGGGTACAGTTGTGCGTGAGAGAGAGAGAGAGAAAGTGAGAACAAAAGAGCGATCATAAAATGTTCGAACGGCACGCGAAGGATAAGTGAGGAAAAAAGAAACTTGGAAATAGTTCACTTGCTGAATCGCGCACTTATCATAATCGGTCGGTGTTTATGCTATATTCGCGCGCGTACTAATCATTGATTGTTATTAGTTACCATCTGCTCGTATGCCTCCTAATGATAATACATCGACAATACGTGTCATTTTTTTCACTTTCGATGATTTTTTTTTTCTCACTGCCCACACCGACGAACAACGCGCACAAGAGTCGTTCCCGAATACGTGCACAACGATAAAAAAAATAACAAAGTTTTTGCGCACCGTAGCTGCCGGTCCTAGGGCAAAATATCGACTAGGCAGCGAATGTTACCGATACCTCGGGTTGCATACAGAGGTGTCCGAATCATTATTTAGCTTACCGAAATTAATATCAACTTCTATTCAGGTTTTATATTAGCTATTACTAGGGCCCGGATTTTAATGCAAAGCAGTGGCGCACATAGGATTTTTTTTTTTTTTTTTGGGGGGGGGGGGTCAAGGTAAAAATATAACACATTTTACAATTAACAAAAATTATGCAAATCCTTAACATATTTTGACTTAAATAAATAGCATTGATAATAGAATAGACTATTCTATAATCAATGATACTAGGTATTCAATACTAGCTCTTCATATTTCAAACCTGTAAAATTTGTAAATTTTAACCTAGACATCGGAGAAAATTTCGGGGGGGGGTACAACCCTTTAATCCCCCCCGCGTGCGCCACTGATGTAAAATGCATATTTTTTTGGTTGATCATACATAATGCTTTCTAAGAACATAATTCATTTCATATAACGAGGGTTTCAAAACTACAAATTTTATTTTGTATTTTTTTTTGCATATTTCGACGTTTTTTTTATTTTTAGAGCATTTTTAGTATTATTGGGTCATTTTGTTGGTTTTTAATGCATATTTGTTCAATATACTAAACAAATTTAGACTATTCAAAATAAAATCAAAATATAAATTATTTTCTTGATATTTTAGTAGGTTTATCGGGTTTTTCTATACACATTGTCAATCTTTATTTTTTGATTCAGTTTTTATCTTATCTTAATTTATTAATGACTGTGGAACGTCACCAGTATTCGGTCAAATAAACAGTCAGTTCGTGTACATCGCAGACGTTTTTTCATATTATGTGTGTTTGTGATTTTAATGTATTAAATAGTGTGTTAAATAATGGCCAAAATAAAAAAAAATATGTCATTTTTGTGGTAAAATGCATTTTTTAAAGAAATTTTTGGTTATTTTTTAGAGCATATTTGTATCGTTTTAAGAACATTTAAATCCGGGCCCTAGTTATTACTATTAAATACAAATCATTCTATGTCTCCGAGGGTTAAAAATAAAAATTTGACGTTATTTTTCAATTTTGACCACCTTATTGTCAAAATGTTTGTGATTTTTAATAAGTTTAAAAATATTCGAATTTTTTTTATAATAATTTATTTAAATTTTATTTTGACAAACAATGATAGTTATTGTATAATATTTTTTTATATAATATTAATTTATATTCAACAATCTATAGGTTAACTATTTATACTTATAATTAAATATATTTTATTTAAATATATCTACGTATAATAATTAATAAAAATTAAAATATTTATGCAGTATTTGAATTGGAATTTGCAGTATGTATTATTTCTTTCTGAACGTAAATCAAAAAAATATAATGAATATATATAAATTAAAGTTTTGAAATAATGTGGAATGTATTTTTTTTTTACAGTTAGTTTATTACTTGTAAAGCAGAATAGTGGAATAGATAAAACTAATAAATAACGAAACAAATCTGTATTTGAATGTAATCTTCAATCTTTTCTTGTGCGGTGCTCAATTTAAACCATATTATCTTTGTTTTTAAATGCTTATGCTATTTTCTGATAATTATCTTAAGAATAGTTAATACTTTTAATAGAATACTACCTTTCATTTTTTTTTTTACTTAATTAATTATTTATAGGTATAAGCAGGGGCGTATTTAGGGGGGGGGTGATATGGGTGTTAGAATACCGCCCATCGACCATATTCTATGGTATTTCATTAAATTACAAACTTACAGTATAATTTGAATAAACGTTGTATACAACTTGTCGATTTTACATACACTGTCTTAATATAATCATTTTCATTAGTATAATAATTTATATAAATACACGGTATTTATTTGTGTAACATAGGAGGGAGCAGAGCCGTTCACTTACCATAAGTCTATTACATTTTAAGACACCCCCGTTAAATGAATCCTGGATACGGCACTGGGTATAAGCACATTATTTATTACATCCAATATTACGAAGACAAATTGTATGGACACTTGAAGACATGTCAAACTCAGTAGTTTATATCAGTATATATCAGTATATATCAGTATATAACGAGACATAAAATCTAGCCATTTCAAGACAATATTTTTCAAATTTATCTGATATTTTTCGTTTAATTTAATATATAAATCAGTACGTGTTGGGACACCGAATCGTCTACACATTAATTTCGCGAATCGTTTTTATAGTTTTCCATAGCAGTATCAAACGTTTATGCAGCGCCGCGTTTATCTGGTATGTATAGTAACATTTTAATTAAGTCTAAAGCACGCCAACACGAAACCGTATAGTTAGCAACTGCCACACACGGGCGAAAGCCCGTCAAATATTTATACACAATATATGTAAAAATGGATACAAATCCAAAAGCATCTATATCAAATAGTGATGGGTCGAACTGTTCGAATCTCTAACCGAACCCTTGATGTTCTGTCTGGTTCGAAATTTGAACTCCGCATGAAAAAAAATCGAACTGAACAAAAATCTTTTACTGTTTGAAAATCGAACTTGAAAATATTTTTCGAACCAGATTTACTGGCCACGATAGTTCGAAAACCAAATATTTGTACAATTCTTTAAAAGTTATTTTGGAAAAATAAAAATTGATAATGATTATTTAGAAATAATTAGACTATTGGCAATAGAAAGTGATAATCTGTAAAGGGCACGTTATGCATTATTAATAATAATAATAATAATAATAATAATAATAATGTTATTTTTCCAGTCACATGTTACACATCCAACCTCCGCCGACAAAAACATTAATAAGTTGTTTATCACCAATAGAGACAGTGTATCTACATTCATATATTAGCTATTTTTATTTTTATCATATTTATTGTATAGGTTAAAATCTATTTTGAGTAAATCCATGGTAATATTCCGCCGCGCGATTGTGCTGTTAATAACATGTTTACAACTTACGTATTACATAATAAATTCTACTAATCATTTTATATTTGTGAATTATAGTTATTATTACTATTTTTTTTATATATTATTAAAATATATTGATTGTATTGTCATATTACACTCAATACTCAATACTCAATGAATATTTTATAAGCTATAAGACAACACGAGAGAGCACAATACTGGTTTTGAAAAATAATAATAATAATAAGAAATTTTCTAAAATTTAAATGTATTGTAAATAATACAATTACTTAGACTTAAAAGTTAAAATGTAAAACAGGAAACACGAAAACTTAAAATACAATAGTAATTAATAATTATGGTTGATTTAATTTGTAGGTAGGTACATGATAAAAAGTATTGAGTTCGAGTTCGACTTAAAATCATAATAGATTCGGTTCGGTTTGGTTCGGTAGAAAATATGAAGGTTCGGTTCAGTTCAAGTTCGAAAAAATAATTTAAAGTTCGGTTCAAGTTGGGTTCAATTTAAAAAATCAGGGTTCAACCTATCACTAATATCAAACAATGATAGTTCAACTCAATCAAACAAACAAAATAGTCAAAAAGTTGTATACAAAAAGTCCAGCCTCTTGTCATAAAAAAAAAAAAAAAACAAACTCCTCTCAAATCAAGATGACTCAAACTCACTACCTCCAAATCCCGATGACGAATTTAGATCGCCATGAAAAACTGTTTGGGCACGTGACTCATCACTTGAAAGCTCATCTTTCTTTCCCACACAAAATCGCTTCACGCCATTAGAAATAGAGAATTCGGATCAAGTTAATCCTTTCCCAAAGTTAACCAAGAATAGTGATCCTGAAAGAAACTCTTATCATTCATAATCTAAATCCAAAATGTCACCAATTTACGTCCACAACATTTCGGATTACAAACAATTCCACAAGTCGCTAAACAATATAACAATCGACGATTCCTCCATCACCGACACAAAATCTGCTTTACAGTTGAACCTGTGCTCAATCGTTGATTACAGAGCTACAATGAATTATTTTGACAAATCCAAAATTGACTATCATACATTTCAACTTCCCCAAAAATAAATAGTTATCAATAATTATTAGAAACCTTCCTGTAAATATTACTGAACAGTGCATATTCAATGAGCTATTAGAAATAAAATCGAAGTCATATCTATACACGTCTTCAGAACAAATTCAAAAATCCGTTACCTATTGTAGCCGTACTATTTTCGAAACCATCCACAGGTATTTACTCTCTAAACAGACTTTTCCACTGTGTAGTAGTCGTTGAACCAAGAAGGCCATCAAAGGACATCTCTCAACTAACTGCTAACGTTTCTCATACACGAAAATATTACCAAAAATACCATCCATGTGTGTAAAATACGCAGGTTAATATCTCATAAAAACGCTCTCCTAGCCTTTCTCAGTCATCACAACATCGATATCGCGTGCATAACAGAAACTTATCAAATACAGATAAACAA